CTCATCCCTAATATCGATGATGTTTTCGAAATCAGTTCAGTCTGCACAATAAGTATACACAATAATGTAATATTTTTTTTTTGCTCTACAATCAATAAAACTAGCAGTATAAACTTTCTTGGTCCATTATAAGCCACAAATTCTTATTAATGTTATCTAAGCGAAAGTTCGCTAACAATCTGCAATGGATATTGCAATTGTGAGCAGACTTTGAATGAAATACCTGTGCACACCAGTCATGGTCTCTCGACATTCAATTCAATTTCAAGATGTAATAAATGAAAAAAAAAAAACAAGCATTTTAAAAGGAAAGTCATCCCGATTGGCTACAAAGCAAATTCAAAATTCGAAGGCAGATGGGAACCCCTGATTATTGCAGGTCTAAATGCTCCAGAATAAACTTTTTTTTCTGTGAATTTAGTTAAGACATAGATGGTGGAAAAACAAGAATTTTTATCAATTTTTAAGATAAATTCAATTTAATGTCTCCAAAGTTATCATGATGCAATGAAGTTATCTTTCAATTAAATCAAATTTCCCTCTCTCTAGGGATGCTAGTTACATTTGATTATAACAGTTATGGACTACCATGAAAATTAAAAAAAAAAAAAGTATCAAAAAATAAAATATTCAAAATAAAGTTATCTCTTTTTCTGTTTAATCATGTTGTAAGATTTCTATGAAAAGTCTCGGCAAATATCACTATCAGCAAATGTTTTTTCTTCCTTGTATGTACCAACTAACTGTTATCAGTATGTAATGTCTAGTTAATTAGATATCTTTTTATTCATAGACTCTTATTTTTTTTTCTCTAAACGATTCACCATTTAATTAATGTTATTTACTATTAAGTTGGAATTTTATTAATTATTTTAGTCATACTAATTTTTAAGTAATATTTAAAACAACAGTGAGAGAGAGGTAACTGAAATAAATAAATAATGTTATCTGATTTTTAATATTTATTTATGATGCCGAGATGGAATGACATATTTGTGTAGCACTCCGACATTTGATTATTTTAAATTTAGATTTAAATGTTTTCCTGTTTATTATGAGATGATGAAAAAATATTCACATTAAAAACTGCTTTATCATTCTTTCCATTCACTTTATTTTCAAAATAAATAAGGTAAAATTGATGTTTGTTGATATCTGCATAGTTTTGGATGAGTATTTGAGTGTTTAAACAATTGCAGCTGGGAGTGAAAAATTATTTTAGCTGTGGGTGAAAAAAAAAATTGTGTACAGGTACAAGAAATTAGTGGAAATTAATCATTTCAACCCCCTCAACTGAATAAGAAGAGAGAAGAATAGAAGAATAAGTATACAAAATATACAAAATATTTTAATACTGAACAGACCTAAAAATACATTTAAAATGAATAAAGAAGTGTCATGATGCAAAAAAAAACTATCAATTTTATCTTTTTTATTTTTCTACAATCAAACGATGATTCTTTTAATTTTCTTGTTGATAAAGAAATATCTGTTCTATGAATGGTTACATTTTACTTCCATTCATTAAATTTAGATAAATTAAAATTCTAATTACTATCAACAGTAACGGCCTTACACATTTGGCAACCCCTGCAGTGATGTCAATTCCTCGGCCCTAAAAATTTTAATTTATTTCTCAAGCTGTTTTATAATATGTAATATTTTTAAATATTTTTATTTCATTAAATATTTCTTTAATACAGTTGATTTATTAATAGACTAAAATTAATTACTTTAATATATTTGTATATATATTTTTTTTTAAATTCTTAACAAGTAGTGAGTGCCCCTGATGATTGGTGCCCCCGACGGGCCCAATGAAATATAATAACATTTCATCGATATGAAATGTTATTATATTTTCTTAAATGACTTATTCGATATTACATTTAAAACAAATTGAACAGAATAGAATTTCATTTGTCTTTTTGAATTGCCTTGCCTTAATTTGAAATTACCAAATTAATTAAGTAGGTTTTAATTTCTAAAACATCTGTAAAAAGCAAGTTCTAAATTATTTCATTTATTTATATTTAATGTATAATGCCTACATAGGATAAAGTATTTAGAATATGTTAACTATAAAACAGCATAAATTAAGTTTAATTCAAAACATAAAATAAAATAATATTTTTATTAAAAATATTAATAGAGTTGTAGGAATGTTGTAGCCTATTTAAAACCTTAATACAATTTGGTTAGTGTTAAACATAAAGATCACTCTAAAAGTGAACAACCATGAAAGTTGTTTATTGTTTTTCTACAAATTACAAACATTTTGTAGAATTATTGAGGATAAACATAAAATACAATTAAAAAAATATATAAATCCAAATAGAATTAGAAATGATTAACTTAAAATTTATTCAAGAAGAATACAAGAAAAAAAAGAATTATAATCGTTATTATAGTAATTAATAATTTTTTCAACTGATAATTTTCTGTAACTATCATCAAAATAGGAAATTTGAGGAAGAAAGATATTTTAATGGACAACATTTAAGCCTCAGATTGTACAAATTCTAGAATGAAGAATAGTATGGAAAACAATGATTATGCAACCACTATAGCACTAAATAGCTATTGATTTTGGTTTATTATTTTCAATAATGAACTATTGTAATCGAAAAAAAAATTCAAAAACTTAATCCCCTCTCAAAATTTGAGGTTTTACGTTTCAGGATAAGTAGAATTCTAAAAACGAATACAAATTTTTATGTCTGTCTGCCGCGCATTTTCTCCGAAACTACAGGACCAATTTTTTTTCAAATTTGTATATAAAATCAGAGTTCACCCTAAAATGATCCTCCTTCATCGACATTACTATCCGCCTTTTACTTTCAAAATGGCGGCCGAAAAACCTGTGTTTCTATAGACTGTAGCGCCTAAACGAATGTACCGATTTCAATGAAACTTGGCTAAAAGTATACACTTTTTTGTTGATGTTGTAGGTGGTTATTTAAAAGTATACGAAATTTCCTAAAAACAAAAAAAATAATCTGTCTTTAGTATTATTTAAAAAATATTAACAAATTAAAACTAATGACATACTTCAGCATTTAATTTTTTTTAAATATCATCAATGACTTTTGAAATTCACTTGCTTCACTTTTTATGCCAATTAAGTGATCGATAAACATCTTCAATTGAATCAAAAAATGATTTTGTTATTATCTGGCCCTGATTTCTTAAAATAGAAGATAAATGTTTGTATTGTTACTGACTAATTTCGAATTAATTCATTGGAACTATATCAGCTGATTAAATATTTGATACGTTGATATTAATAAGAAATTTGTATTCGTTTTTAATTTAATATTTTTTTGTAATCTCTAATTGATGTATATTAAAATAAATAAGAATCTCTGCCAACTAAAGTCAGTATTGCTTCCTCATCTATATTTAAAAATCATCATTTTTTTTATGAAAATAAAATCTCCAGGAGAAGCTGTTTTCGGAAATACATTAATTCCTTAACATCCGCGGGTTTGAAATTTCCTAAATTACTAATGATAAAAAAAAAAAAAATCTTTAGGGTAATAATTGGTAGCACCTATAATTTTATTTTATTTTTTTGTCACTAGAAAGGTAATGTTACTTTAGATGTATAATTGTTTGGAAATAATAAACCATTGTGAAATAATTCGCAAGGTTTTTTTAATTGTAATAAATCCCGAAGTCAAAAATATAATTTTAAAAACATTCAACAAATGTGAAAAGACCAATATATAATTGGGCACATTCAACAACAAACAGATTACAAATATTAAAGTTTAAACAGAAAACTATAAGAAGCAAAAGGTTATTAACAAAATTAAAAGTGAACAATATTATATAGAGAAACAACACAAAATTTAAAACTCAAAAGAAAACAATGTAAAAAAATGTAATTAATCCCTCCAGAAAACGTACAATTTGTGGAGGTGGATAAATAAATATTTTAACAATGTGGTAAATTTAAAAATAGATATTAAGAAAATGAAATGAAATGATGAAAGCCAAAAGAAAATGGGGCAGCATTCTTTTGATATAATTAATAAAATATATAGTTAACAGTTAATAAATATGAGATGCAAATAAGTATATAAAAATATTTACCTCAACTAAGTATTAAGTTAAACCCAGTAGACATAACAATAGAGAACAGAGTATTTATAATACACTAATATAGACACACCTTCATATCAAGGTGAGGACACAAATTTTTTAACTAAATATTGGATGTTATTTGTATGAATATTAGGAAAAGTAATACCAAATGTTGCATATATTTTAATTGACAATTAAAAAAGATGTATAAAAAATATTATTAAGAAACCAACAAATATAGATCTTTTATTTTAAATAGCACAATTTCTTATTGAATAAAATATTATCAAAATGGGATACTCTATGTGATGGTAATTGTACAATATTTCTTTATGAATTTGGGTACTTCTCAACTTTTATTTTATTTTTTTATTTTGTATAATAAGTGATGTTAAATGTTAGTTTTAATTGTACATAATAATACAATGTTTAAGTTTTAATTATTATTTAATAATATTAATATTCAATATAATGATTGATGTGTTGTTTTATTTTAGATACTGGATTTGAAAATGAACCAATTTTATGAAATCTGAAGTGTTTTTATTCCTGAAATTTAATTTTTTGACATATTTAAATAGCTGTTTAAACAATTAGAAAATACTATTTATTAGAAATGCCAATAACTTTTTTCCATTTTTTTTTCATTCATAATTTTCTTTTATTATTTCATTAATTAACTATTTGACACTTCACTAACTAAATAGGTAATGGGTAAAAATTATTCTAAGAAATGAGTATTTGGATAATATAATTCATTATTCTGAATAATTTTTGCCCATATGTGAAAAAATACCTCTGTGAAAATATGGGTATAAGCGTGTAAAACAATAATTTAAAATAAAATATTATACACCAGCTTCAAATATTGTACTTAGTCTAAATAAGGAGGAAGGATTAATAAATTAAAAAATATAAATACAATGATTTTATTTTTTAATCAGAGAAATGATGTTTAAAAATACTTGAAATTCACAAAAAACAAATAGCCAAGTCCAACTCCAATCAACCAGCTAAGTCAGGTTTCAATCTGAATAAAAATGTATTATTAGTTTATTTATAAATGTATTTTTTAAATATTCAATGATGTAAATATAAATGTTTAAATATTTCTATGTTGCTTTTCAAAATATATTTCTTAATTTATTAGTAAATAAGTTTTGTTAAAGCCATTACTTATTTCTAATGATTCTATAATAGAGATGTGCATGGAATCAACTGATCAATTTTGTAATAATAAACTGTTTCTCGAGTGAATTAAATCTGATTTCATTTTTAAATTTCAAACCCAAAACTTTTGGTCCTCATTGTTATTTTAAGAAAATAATTGATAAATATTTTTTTAGTTTAATCGATAAATTAACTAATAAAATAGTAATTATTCATATTTCTTTTTGTTTAATTTTCTAGTATGTTTTAATTTTAGGAGTACAGTGTTACATAGTGAGTAAGGCACTGTGTTCCTATGTCTTGGATCTCAGGTTTGAGTTTAGGTCCCAGGCTGTGGGAGATAGTTATATATTGTTATATCATCTGTGAATCGATCTTGAAGAAGAGAGACTCTTCAGGACCCCACCCAGTCTACTCTTATTTGGAAACTTCGAGCATGATCTCAGTCACATCGCCTCCTTGCACAACCGGTAACCAAGAAACAATACTTTCTTACGGAACACTGAATTCAAGATCTTTGGAGGGTTGTAGTGGTATATATATATATGTATATATATATATATATATATATATATATATATATATATATATATATTATATATATATATATATATATATATATATATATATATATATATATATATATATATGTTATCTATATATATATATGTTATCTATATATATATATATATATATGTTATCTATATATATATATATATATATATATGTTATCTATATATATATTTTAATTTTAAGTTAATTGGAAATTTACATTATCTTTTAAAATCTTTCATGTTAATGTTTTGGAGAACACTTTCACTTATGTTCAGAATGTTTACCATGTAAACATCAATTTACATAAAATTAATATAAGTAATATAATTTTACATATTATGCACAATAAAAATCACTCTTTTATTTGGTTGTTTAAATATATTAATAACAATTATATTTAATAAACATTTGTTTCTTTCATTGTCTAGAGTTAAAGGTTATCAATTAGTTTGATATAAGTGGCTTGTATGAATTATGTAGTTTTTCCCTACTCTCTGTGCTGTCTCTCATCCCCTTTATAAATTGTTATCTATAAATTTTTATTTGTTTTTAAAAATTTGAAAAATTAAAAAAAAAATATGACTATCAGCTTACCTGAATGGCTGCTTTCATCGCTCTTATCTTTTGATTTGCTGTGACTTCCACCTGTATTGATAAAAAAATTCATTATTGTTTATTATAAATATCACATTTTTAACATTGATTTGTAGTTACAGAGGTATTTAATTTTAGTTTTGTTTAATTAATTAAATTATATCACAAAGTAAAAGTTTGATTTGAAAATTGGAACTAAATTTTGTTTTTGTATGTAAAATTTCTTTTAGAATATGTTTTGAGAATAAATACATTTAAATATTTTCAGATTTAAAAAATATATATAATTATTTTAATTATAAATACTTACTTGAACTATCACTTTCATCACTGCTTTTATCACCTGATCCACTGTGGCCACCTAAATTTATTTAGACTTAATTATTTAAAGGCTATTTTGTTTATTATTTTTAATATATTTAAATTATTTAGTTGTTTTAGAAAAGTTATAAAAAAGATTATAAACTATATATCTCTCACCACTGCTGCTTCCTCCATGTCTTCCTGCACTTCCAGATCCTCCATGATGTCCACCTTTAACACATCATCATTGTAAATTTATTGGTAAGTAACATTATTTGTAAATTAAATGTAAAATTGGCCCAGTTGTCCTATACAGGGTGTTTCAGAGTTAAGTGGCCAAACTGAAAATAAGAATTAAGGACCTCAAAACAAGAAAACAAATTCCTACGAAGGTATTTTCAGTATCCATCTAACCTATCAATGGTTGTCATTTTTCAAGAAATACCAAAACAAGCCAAGACAAATATTTTGTAAAATCAAAAATTAGAGTTAGTATATTTTTGAAAGATTTCAAAACAAAACCTTAAGTTTAACAGGTATTTATCTATTTATGTTTTACTAACGTTATATAAAAAATATAATATAAAGATAACTATATTAAAAACTTATAATGAAAGGAACTTTAGATACTTTAAACTTATATATATAAATTTTTTTTTACATTTTCTCCCTCCAGTTTGCTATATATAAATGGAATGAGTGAAAAATCCAAAAATTATACGAGGTTTCTTTTTTTTTTTAATGGTTGAAATATTTAATGACTAAAAGTTCTGATTGGAAATTTTTTTTAAATTTAGCTTTAGTTAAATTATTATCTTACTGCCACTTCTATGCCCTCCTAATCCTCCTGATCCACCATAATGACCACCTGAAAACATTAAGATTTTATTAATTTCTATCAAATAATGACATTTATAAATGAATAAATAACCATAAATACAACTATGAATTTATGATGCTTATAACAAGAGGAATTTATTATACTTATGACTTATCTATACATAAAAAACATTTTTTTAAACAAGGTACTCCCTCCAATTGGGTATTTATAGAACAAATTAGTGAAAAATCAGTACATTACATTACCAATTCAGTACCAAGTTTCAATTTTTTTTAATGGTTAACAGATTTATAGATTAAAAGTTTGGATTAAAACTTTTAACTTTTAATATTTTTTTCATAAATTTAGCTTTAGATAAATTATTCTCTTACTACCACTTCCACGCCCGCCTAGTCCTCCTGATCCACCGTAATGACCACCTGAAAATATGAATTTTTAAATGAATTTCTTATAGTTTCACATTCCAAATGCATAATTATTCAACATTTATTTGATTTATAAAATGCAAAATTTGAGCTTAAATGGAAAATAATTAGACATAAAAAAAATTAATAGTTGGTGTTGTTATGCCAAAGAAAACTCTAAAATTATGTGTATACCTTAGAACAAAAACAGCCAATTCGAAAACTAAACAAATTGAGTCAACTGCGCAAAAAACATTTGTAGGATATTCTAAATTGTTAAAATAGCAAATGGCATTCCATTATTAGACTGATCGGCCACCAAAAGCACAGCCGGAACAGGGCTGAGCGTAGCTGTGTCACCTTCCAAAACCGAATCAAAGGTTTTCATTGAGAGACCGGCCACTAGAAGGTGAGCTGAGCACAGTTGAGCGGTGTAGCAAGGGTCAGCTGAGGTCAGCTTTGGGTCTACTGGGGTTCGATTTCGGAAGCTAACTCCGCCAGGCTCAGCTTCTCCCACTAGCGGATCCAGGATTTAATTTTGGGGGGGGCTTCAGCCCGAAACCTTTTTTTTTCATAAAAATAACGATAATTACTTTGGAAAAACTAAAAGAAACTAACTACTTATATGAAATGGTGTTTAAGTTATTCCTTAAGTACTTTTAAATGTAATTACACGAACAATAATACTTTAAGAGGTATTTTTTAAATTTTTTTTCCCATAAAACATGGCTATATTTTTCCATTTTGGGGGAGCTTCAGCCCGAAAGCCCCCCCCCCTCCCCTCCCCCCCGTAGATCCGCCCGTGGCTTCTCCCACCACACCTACTCACCACTGTCACACAACCGTTTTCACTGTGCAACCTACCAAATTATTTTATTTTGGTCCATTATAAAATATGTTATGGATGTGAAAGAATTCTTAATTGAATGTGTGAGGAAAAATATTCTATTTTATACACAAATATTCGATTTTTTTTTTCAGCTCCCACATGATCATCTTTGCTATTTTTTAAAAATATTATATATATATATATATATATATATATATATATATATATATATATATATATATATATATATACAGTCCAACTCAGTATATATATATATTTTTTTAAATTTTATCCACTTATTTTTAATGCACAACCTCACAAATTATTTTATTTTGGTTCAGTGTAAAATATGCAATGGATGTGGAAGAATTCTTAATCGAATGTGTAAGAGAAAATATTTGATTTTATAAATAAATATTCAAATTTTCTTTTCAACTCCCACATGATCAACTTTGCTATTTTTTAAAAATGTTATGCAGAATATGAGAAGGGTAGCGATGCAAGGCAAGCTGTTGAATGAGCTGAGCTCGGCTACGCAATTGGTTGACGACCTCTTCTTGCTATGATCAGCTGCGCTTTCGATGGCCGGTCAGCCTTAGAGTTTTGAGTTGTAAATAAATTTGTTTCTTACCATAACTACCGCTGCCACTTCCATGACCACTGCTGCCACTTCCATGACCACCTGCTCCTCCTGAACCAATGATGCCAGCTCCTAACAGCAGTTAGAATTATTTTATTTCGAAAGTTATGTAAAAACATTATCATATGATTATTATATTTCATTTGTTTGAATAGCTAAAAGTAAAAGTTACTTGAAAGTAAAAATTCACTTGAAAACTTGCAAGAGAAAAATTCTAGGTCCGAAATAACTGAAAAAGATTAGTATTTATAATGAAAATCAGAACTATTACCTGAACCGCCACTAGCGCCTCCTTGGTCTCCAATATGACCTTCTCCAGAGTGACCACCTCCTAACGGCAGTTTGATAGAATTATTTTATTTCAAAAGTTATGTAAAAACATTATCATATGATTATTATGTTTCATTTGTTTGAATAGCTAAAAGTAAAAGTTACTTGAAAGTAAAAATTTACTTGAAAACTTGCAAAGGAAAAATTCTAGTTCCGAAATAACTGAAAAAAAAATATATTCCAGTCCTACCGATACTAATTAAAAATAAAAGTTAAAATTTCATTTCAAGCCCTTATCTTGCTTCCGAACACATTTTTGCTGACTCATCAGTTGATCTGTAAGTCCAACTCAGTTGGTTATTAGACGTGGAGAATCTAACTTGCCTTGCATTTACTGAACAGCTAGGCAAGAGGATAATGATCGTGGAAAAAAGTTTTGATGTCAGTCAATTCTAAATTTTATCTCTAGGAATTACTATTATTGGATATATGGTAATTTTAATTATTTGATCCTTGAGAAATTATCCTTAATCACATTGCAAAGTTTTATATTCTTCTTACTGTGTCTAGTACTTGTAACCCATGACCTCCTGCATAATCAAAGTTACTGAAGGTTATATTCTAACACTTAGATTATGTTCATTCACTTTCATAATTATTAGTAATACTATAGAACTTAGGGCCAAAAAACTTTGATTTGAAATTAGAAATGTTTATTAATTTTTTTCTCTGCAACTATTTAATTATTATAAGGGAGCATAAGAATCCTATATATTTAAATTAAATAAGCTTAAACACATATTTATTATGAAAATAAAAATTATTACCTAAACTACCATCAGCGCCTCCATGGCCACCAATATGTCCACCTCCTGAGTGACTGCCTTCTAAATATTTATAATAGACATAAAAATTATACTTAAACTAAAAATTAAATATTATAAATGAAATTGTGATTTAAATCATTTAAAATATTTTTTATTTAAAATCTCCTATTGAATCTGAGGATAAGACTGGTTTAACAAAATTGAAGTTGATTAAAAAATAAGAATAAAAATTATATATCATTATATCAATTATATGGTTATCTATCAATTTACATGTTTTTCTCTTCTGGAAAGTTAGAAAAATTGCTCAAATTGCTTCAACACTAAGTATTTTAATATTTTATTTTACTTGAAAGTAAAAATTCACTTGAAAACTTGCAAGGGAAAAATTCTAGTTCTGAAATAACTGAAAAAGATTAGTATTTATAATGAAAATCAGAATTATTACCTGAACCACCACTAGCGCCTCCTTGGCCTCCAATATGACCTTCTCCAGAGTGACCACCTCCTATATAAATGAATGTTTATTACATAAACATAAACTTATTTTTAAACTAATATACAACTGTGTTTATAGCTACCTAATATAATTATAACTGATATAAACTATTATATTCCATATATATAAAAATGAATGTATGTCTGTCTGTCAGTCTGTTTGTCCTTTGTGCATTACTAAACCATTCATCCGAGCTCCAAAAATGTTATGATGAATTCAATATTTTATTTGACGATAACTAAAAAAGAACAGAATTTTTTATTGATAATACCCATATTTATATGAAAGATTTCTGAATTGCTGACAAAATAAAAAAAATCATCAAAATAGGACGGTTCGTTGCAGAGTTATAGAGTTTTAAACATTTACTGATTTTTCTTAAGAAAAGGCCATTTCCTTTTGCTTCCTCACTACCGAAGGTAGGCAAGCATTTTTTTTTTTTATTGATTAATCAAACAATTTATAATTACTACAGTAATTGAAATTATCATTTGAAGAAGTTATATGGTTTTCCTTATGTAGGTCAATACTATTATACATTCTTTCTATTAATTTTTTATTTTAGTTTTATAAGTTCAACTCAGACTGTTTCTGATGATTATGAATGACGGCGTATTCAGTCAGATGATTATGAATGTTCAATTTGAATCATGAGAAAAAAAATCATTAGAATTAGTTTAAATTGAAGACATTTTACAGGCAAATTTGGTTCCCAACTTTTTAAAAATGACAGATGCCCTTGGCAATTAATCTACTCATATGTGCTTTCTATTTTCTTTCTTTTTCATTTTGCCAGGCTCACCCACAGCAGCGCGTGACTGGGTAAAGCTAGTTTAAAATAAAACTTAATGATACATTATTCTTTGAAAATGGATTCTTACAGTGTAACTCCTATAAATTGATTTTTAAATTAAATTTGTTTGATTGTTTTTTATAAACTTATATTATAACTTATATTAGTGACAGAGTTAATCAATGCTTGCATACATTATGCATATAGTTTGTATGTAGTTATAATTGAATCAATTCTCCTTATTTGCATAGTAAAATTATATTTATTGATAAGTATTTCCATTATTATCATCTTACCTAAGCCACCACTTCCACTTCCATGACCGCCTCCACTTCCTGAACCACTGAGGCCACCACCTGATAACAGTTTAATGAAATAGTTATTTCAAATTATTTAGTAGAACTCTGTACCATAAATCTTAAATATAAAATATTAATTTAATTCTAAACATCGATGCAATGAAAAAATTAGAAAACTTGGTATAAATCTATAAATAGATTGTTACCTAATCCACCACTACCACCTCCATTGCCACCTAAATGTCCTGACCCGGTGTGACTTCCTTCTAAACAAATACAATTCTCTGTAGTTAAATATATTTAATTTTACATAAAATAAAAAATAGTTATTTTAATTTTTGTTTTCTTAATTGAATACTCCTCGAAATTCTCCATTTTATGATTGAATTCGTTTTAGAAAAAGATGAAAGTTAAAATGAAATACGTAATTGCTGTGTATTACCAATTTTTATCGAAATTTAGAATCAGGATGAAATGTTTTACACAAATATGGATAAGAAAATATGTAGAAAAAATTAAAAGAAATCCATTGCTAAATTACAAATCATATTCTTATATCATAAATGAGAAAAGAGGAATTACCTCTTAAATATTCTTATTTAATAAGACTTATTCTAATAATCCATTTATATATACATATATTATTGAAGTAGTTTTATTATATATTATAATATGTATATATTATTGACATGATTTTATATTTATGCTTAAATTAAATGTTAATAATCATATTACCTGAACTTCCAGTCCAACTTCCTTGACCATGTACACCTTCTGAACCACCAAAGCTACCACCTGTAGCATTTACATACATCAGTACATAAATTACATACATAATTACACAATAGTTAGTTATAAATAGTACTAAAGAATTTCGACATTGAGGACCAGACTAAATAAACAATCGATACGATTTGCCCATTTAAATATATATTTATTTATTTATTAATTTGTATTTCACCATTGAGCATTAAACCACCAAAACACTAAACATAAAATTCAAAATGATCATATTTGTCAAAAGAGATTACTAATATGTACTTATTTTCAAATTATGTATAAAGTGAACTGTGATATGCAGAACAAATAGTTGATATGTGTTGGTATTATAAAATTTAAATTATCACCTGAAGAACCACCACTGCCTCCATGTTCACCATGTCCTGATCCATAATGACCTCCTAAATCAATTAGATATTTATGACTTAAATTTAATGTTTTTTATAGAAAATAAAATGGTTATTTAATTTATTCACAGAATTCATCCAAAATGGGCCATACCAAATAAATTTTAAATTCTAAAAGTCTAATAGCATTCAATGCAACTTAGAGAAATGATTTTAAACAATTGTACACAACATAGTAAATTTATTTATTTCAAGTACATTAGTTTAATTATTTCTCATACTTCAAAAATAAATAGTCAATAGAAAATAAACTGTTTTCGTTGTACCAATTACTTCACCTGTAAATGTAGTAAGAGGAAGAGAGAAATATCATTCGATAAGGATTTTTGAAGAGAGTTATTAAAAAATAAAATTTACAAATATTGACGATCTACATTACAAAAGCCTACTAGTGCATAAACTAACAAGAAAAGAAAAAAAATCGATATTTATTGTTTTAATATAAGTTAAATTTTCTATTTAATTTATATTACAGGCTTAAGACAAAGATATAATGTTAAAAATAACATTTTGGTTTTTATTTTTTATGTCAAAGAAAAAAAAAAATTTAAATGTAAAACTATTATGAAAGAGAAATTGTTTTGCACTTTGTAATCTGTTTTAGTTTATTATTTTCAATAATGACATTTTATAATTCAGGTCGAACTTCGATCTCTGAGTGATCCTAGCTTTAAAATATTTGATGAGTTAAACATATAAATTATTTAATACTCACCAAAGCCACCACTCCCACCTCTATGTCCTTCAAATTCTCCAGAACCACCTGATAAATACAACATTATAGTTACTTGGTTGAATTATTATTTTAATTGATAAGTATATTTAATTGAAATAATCAATTATGATTACAATTTTCACTAATCTTTTTTTTTTTTACATTTAATCTCCTATAATTTATGTATGATAAATTATTTGACAGTATTTAGCAGCAGGAAACTAATCCATAAAATATTAAGGTGGTTTTTAGTGAGATTTATGGTTACTGTATTCAAAACAAAAGAACTATACTACAATATAAAATTGAAATTTAAAAAATATTTGGAAATACAATGCGACATTTTAAGAAAAAGAATCAGCTTCTTAAAAATGGACAGCAATTTTATAAATATTGATTCAGCTCAGTCACAAACCCCAACGGCTATACCTATCCAATGATTACTTTATTCTAATGAAAACTTCAAAAAATAAGAAACCATTTATTGTGGTCAAAATGAAATCTCAAAATTCGTTTGAGGCTCATAAATTTAGGAATCTATCACAAACCGGAAAAAAAGGGGAAAAAATGAACAGGTCAATTGAGTGAAAATTAAGGAGAATACAATTTTTAAAAATGAGTCTTTTAAGTCATTCTGTAGTTCAGATTTCAAATTAGAATATTCGATCATAAGTCTTGAAGGAAGGGTAGAAAAAAGAAGAAATTAAAATTTCTACGCTTTCTTTAAAATTACTTTTTGAAAATATATTTTTATAACTGCTATTTGCACTTATTTATTTCATTTGAATAATCTTTCACATCTATATAAAAGAAATTAGTTGCAGAAGCTTACCAGCCAATGGAAGATGAGTGGTTTTGGTTTAGTTTAATTTTTTTGGACACCCACCGTGGCCACGCCTGAAGATGGTAAATTCTAGGTTTTGTGGTTATCTATTATATTGAAGGGATTTATCCATTGGTTTTTATGTCGAGCTTGAAAGTTGGTAAAATTTATATTTTGAAAAATTTAATTCAATTAATTTTTGATGTACATATAAATTTATATTCTTAAATTTAGGAAAGCGGTATAATATAAATATATTTATATTATTAATATAAATGTATTTATTAATACATATATGACAAGATACAAGTAAATGAATCTCACCAATGGCATGATGGTTTGTTCGGTTCCAGTTTACTGTAGATTCTCCATACTGCGCTTCAGCAACATGAAAAACCTATGAACAATGGCTTCCTTTAAGAAATATATTTAGAATTAAAATATAACCATAATTATATTTAGCTTTATTAATAACCAGACATTCTTTGATAGTTAATAAATAAAAATATCATGTTGTGAAAAGTAGAGTATAATTTTATTGATTAAAGATTTTTAAAGTACATATTCTTATTGTGCCTCAAGATTGGTATCATGACAAAACATTTTATTTGTACAACTATTTTCAGCTAAAATCTCAGCATACATTCATTTTCTGTAATTTATCCATTTGAGGCGATATATTTGTGAGGTAAGTTTAGTTCTTTATAATTTTTTTTTACATTTTTATTTCATTAGTATTATTACTTTTAATGGCTCTAGCTTCAGTGTTATAGTTTTTGAAAAATATTGATTTAAAGAATGATGAAACAATATATTTTTATTATTATTATTTTTTCTGCAACTTATGAAACTAACTAACTTGATCAAATCTAGAAAAATGGTGATCAGCTGAGCTCTGTCACTAAGGCTGTACTTGATCAGCGTATTTGATCCAAAGAGAGATGCTGAAGGAAACAAAATACATTGGGAAAAACATATATTTTTATGTATATTAATATAAAAAATAATATTTGGGCAGCGGACCTGTTCTCCAGAAGAATTATTTGGTTTCTTAAAGGGTTCTAACTGGAAAGCCTTAAGCAATTATGTACAGCAGGCCACATTGCAAAGATCTCAATTAGTCTGATAGCAAAACTATTGATAAAATATCGTGTTTATTTATTGTAATGTTTGTTTTATTGTTATATTGTATTTTATGATTATTATTGTTGAATTTAAATTTCTTATTTATTGGATTTGTGATGTATTAATGTTTGTTTTTTGAAAACTCTAAACAAATGAGAATGTGAAAAAGAAAATTGCTAAAATGGATGTATTAAACCATAATAATACTGTAGATATATTATTGCTCATTTATTTTAGTTATAAATGTGATGAATATTTATTATTAATTACACACAGACCTCGACAGACGGAATTTTCCATTGTCTATGTGTTGTTGATTGTATATATATATATTTTACTTTGTGTAATTTTTTAAAAAAAGTTTAATAAACACGTTTTCATTCATAAAAAATAATTCTTTGTTATTTGTTGCTGTATTATTCCAAGACAAGGAAAACTACACCAGTACTTTAAGAAATACTTGCTTTGAATGGATTAAATTATGACCACCAGCAACACATTCAAATTCATTAAATAATTATTCTTTGGCTTAGTAGAACAATATTTTAAGTTGTAGTTACGTCGTTATAATAATTCATGGAATTTGTGGCAATACTTTAATAAAAAAAAAATAGAAATAAATTATTTTACTTTGAAAATTAAAAAAATCCAAACCCAAAATATTATTAGACATTTATTAAAATGATCTGTTATTATAAACAAATTAGTTCTAGATAACTCACAGACATAATTTTTAAAATATGAAATGCCAAAGAAAATTTATACAAACCAGAAGAGCTGCAATGACCCAGGTGGTAGCTAACTTCATCATGTCTTCGCTAGAAAGTGAGGAGTCTTTGAAGGATGAGGGTATTTATACTTGACACTTATCTGAATTTACGTAAACTCTATATGTTAATTAACTACAAGTTAACACACCATGTCTTTGTTATAAAAGCCTAATTAAGAGTTAAATTTTGACATTCACATCAATTATAAGTAATTGACACATACGCCTTATGATAAGGTTGACTAATATTCTTTTAAAATAATTTTGGCATGAAATTATTGAAATAAAATTATTTTTTAATAATAATTTCGTTTGCCAACCAAATATATCTATTAGTTACAAGAAGATTAATTGTGAATGCACTACATATTTGCTATGACTCCAACAATTATCATACCTGGTTAATTATTATAAGAGAAGTTTATTGCTACTAAATACATTGGGCCAAAACAGTCTGTGAAAACCCATCATGCATTTTATTATATTAAGTTTTCACCATCACAGATTCTCTTTCTGTTTTTTTTTTCTTCAGTAAATCATTTTATTTGACAATAGAAACATCAAGTTTTCATTTTATATACAATACTTTGATATTTTTGGGTCCTTAATTGTTCATGAATATTTTGTCGTCTTTGTTCATACACATGGCAAAAAAAGCTCTGTAAACAAAATAAATAATTTTTTACTACTTAATATATACTTATGGTTCCTTTTTTATTTTTAATGATATGTGACTAACATGAGTACTAATTTTGCAGTAATTTCTCATTGATTTTTCCCAATCTTTCAGAACCCTTTTTTTTTTTTTTTTTTTTTAATTCTTTCTTTATTTGGACCAAATTACTTTTTTTAATGGTACAAAAATATCTCACAATAGCTTCTAAAATCTTTTAAACATACTACACGTACATATATGCTAGAAAAATTAAATTTTATACAAAAAGCATGTATATACAGTTTATAATATTTCAATGAACAATTACAGATTAAAGAAATAGAAATCTATAAGTGTTTTCTAAATCTTATACAAGCTCTGAGGCCTTATAGCCCTGGAGTCAGGGCCCAAAAATCGACCTGATCGCAGGCGAAGGTTTGATTGTAAATTACGAAAGTGTATGTTATTCTGAGTAAAAAAAACCTTGTCTGCCGTTCCAGAGCCGCTGCTTTCGAAAATGGCGGCTGATTTAAAGAATATTAGGCCAATAATTTGAGGATCGAAACGGGAAATCCATTGCGAAAAATGTGAGAAAAGTTTCTATTTTTTTAATTTGTATATATGGGTTTAGATATGTTTAAAATAAAATTGCTAACGCAGGCCACCAAGGGAAAACTTTTTACAGCCAAAAAAGTCAGATTTTTTCAGATATTGTTTAGGTTTTTCATCTATAACTCCTAAACAACGCATCAAAGCGAAAAATGTGTTCTTTAATAAATTAAAGAACGTAAAATTTTGCATCAAACGAGTACACAAACTTTAAAATTTGTTAACGCAGTAAACTATAAAACCACGGTCAACCAACGCTGATTTTTACCAAATTTGTCGAAATCCGAAACAAATTGGAAGTGAGCGGGTCCCACCATCATCTATCCATTAAACCGAGGGAAGTTTTACTCGCTGACTAGCTGAGGAAACTCATAGATTCCCGCGGCTCTTGCCATAGTCGCTCTTAACGTTTCAAATGCGGTGCAAGTCCTGACCACGTGCTCTACAGTTTCCGGAACACTACAGATTGGGCATAGAAGATCTATCTATCAATGCCCAGGCCGTGAAGTTTAACTCGAAATCCTCCATGCCCAGCGAGGAACTGAGAAATCCAGCTTTTTTTTTTTGTCGTAGTGTGAGATTCCGGAACCAGGAGGGAGACTCATACCTCAAGATACCCTCCACAACACATTTATAAATCGCGATTTTGGCTGGATACCTAAGGTCCCCACGCGAGTTATGCCGTTCATTGCTAGGGCCATTCTACCTGCCAGATATTCCAAGTGAGGTATCACATTCAGACCTAAACCTAATCTAACTTCTAGGTAGGTTACCACCTCACTTGGACGTATCCTTTGGCCTTCTATGTCCACTGTTAAAGGCTTTACCTTGCCAATCTTGCTCTTGAGGATAATGGCTTGAATCTTGACAGTAGCCATCTTCTTTTCCTCACACCACATCGCTCTGCTTCTCTCTTGACTCCAGCTCTGCTGTTAGAAGCCACCAAAGCTGCTAGGTCACCAACATAGGCAGTGGCAGCAATCCGCTCTTCCACTAACTTAGCATTAGTATATACCATTAGGGACGTAATACATATCGAAAAAGGTTTGATGTTGGGTGGAGCAACATATGGTTAGCTGTAGGGATGCCCATTCCCAAGGTCGATGGTGCAAGAACCTATCATACCCACTCCCAAGATATTTTAATGCTCACATTTTCTTAAAATCAGAGTAAACGATGGTAGAATTAACAAAATCGTAGATCATATACAATTACACTTTTTTTTTTTGGGTCCTTCCCCTCCTCGCCGTTAAGACTATACGGGATTTTCCCGGGTCAGGGGGTGTGGGCCGGGATTTTAAAAGACTCCCCCGGCACCGGGATGCGAACTCGTGACTATTTTTATCTTTGATTCTTATGTCAGGTTGCCGGTGCAGTGCACACGCTTTAGCCCATTCGGCCACCCCGCCCACATATACACAATTACACTTGTTGCGATCTGTTTCATGTTTTCTACTTATCCCTTAGTATGTAACTTCATGACGAAAATTCATAGCCCCGCCAAAATGTGCCTCCCCTCAACAATTCAGAAAATCACCAAAATATGCTCCCCTCAAAAATTTTGATTTTTTGAAACCCTCTTCTGGGCATCCCTGGTTAGCTGCAAAAACAGGTACAATTTCGGTGACATCGATATAGAGTAAATTTGAACACATAGAGAGTTTCAGGATCTACGGTAACTAGAAAAACGAATTTGAAGAGGAGATTAAAGTTAACTTGAAGATGGAAAATCCTTGTTATTTTTTTTTTTGTCAAAACTACTTGGCCCGTACCTCCTGTACCGAAACTTTTTATTTTAATGAAATTTACAACTGTATTACATGAAAAATACAACAAGTAAATGTGACATTGGTAACATGACATGTACAACATGAAGAGAAAATACCCATTGGTAGAACTCAAATTAAAGTTCTATATTAGAAGATCCCGAGGCCATCTTCTTTTCAGACGCCTCGGAGGGTTATCAGGGATCGAGGAGGAAGGTTTGAAACGAGAGGGTTCGGGAGGTTCTGCAGTTTGTTATGGAAGGATAGGTATTTGGATTGGGTCAAATCGGAAACATATGGAACATTAAGGTCTTTATGGATGATTTTATTTGTGACAAAGTAAGGAGCGTTGTGGATTTTACGAAAGATTTTGGTTTGTAAGGATTGGATACGAGAGGAATTCGATGGTTTAGTGGAGCCCCAAAATAGGTCTTATTATTGTCAAATATATGAGTCGTTTGTAATTGATTGAAAGCTTAGAGCGTTTGTCTAGTAAGTGTTGTAGTAGTCGAAAATGTCGGGCTGTTTCTAGTCGTTTCAGTCTGGTATGGGGGTTCCAAGTTAGACGTTTGTCTAAGTGGAGTCCAAGGTATCGATTTTGTTCAACAGGGATAAGCGGGGTATTATTAAAGGATACTGTAGGACAAGAGGACATAGGTTTACGACGAAGGGTAAAGGTGATTTGATGGGATTTATTGGAATTTAATTTTATTCTCCAGTTTTGACACCATTCTTCAAGGTTTGTGATGTGTGATTGAAGGGTTTGGGATACAATTGTTGGGTCGTTATTAACTGATAGGACACATGTATCATCGGCATACGTGGTAATGACTGTGTTAGGATGGGTTGGGATATCAGCTGTATAAACTGTGTAAAGGATAGGACCTAGGATAATACCTTGAGGAACACCTGCAAACTGAGTAAAAAGAGATGAATAACCATTGTTATGATTGACTTTGAAATATCTGTCAGTAAGGTAGGAACGGATAATGAGGAAGTATGTAGGTGGTAGGAATTTACGGAGTTTGTACATCAGTCTCGGATGCCAGACTCTATCAAACGCATGTTCAACGTCGAGAAAGACTCCCTTGCAGTACATTCCGCGCTCAAATGCAGAGGAGACTACATCTACCACACGATGGCATTTTACCGAAACTTAAAAATTAGATTTTACGAACCCATTATCCTACCTATGGTTTTTTATGGTTGTGAAACGTGTTCACTCACATTAAGGGATGAGCAACGTTTTAGGATTTTTGAAAATAAAGTATTGCGCAGAATATTTAGACCGAAATATGAGTCAACCACAGAATTTGAATGGTTAAACATCGCCAAATTGCAAAAGCTTTATCCGTTTAATATGACTGAGGTGATTACATTTCGTACAATAAAATGGGTGTGCAAAATTGTTGGGCTTAGTAACGAATGAATCGCTAAAAGGTTATGATTTTTAAACCGGAAATTAGAATTTTTCATTTTGAGTTTGCCAGTGGATTTCTGCGGTATAACATAAGCAGACAACTCATGACTCAACGTGTAACACAGTATAATAATTACTTCAAAGTTAAAATTAATCTGTTGAAGGATAACAGTGGTACTTTGCTCATTGCTGCTCCTACTCAATTTTTATTGATTTGTAAATTGAATCATTCTTTGATGGATTAATATATCTTCAGCTAAAACCTGATTTTGCAGACTGTGATAATAATTTTTTTTATCTTTCAACGGACCCATAAATTGCTTCTCAAACTTATCAATCACAGACCACAAACCTAAAAGAATGGTGTCTCAACTGAACTTTACATGAAATATGTAAATGGAGGATTATTAATCTGAATTTTATTTTATTTATTTATGTTCCAATAAATTTGCCACTACGTTGTAACGCTTCCAGTAAATGTGTTGGAGTTTATTCTAAATTCTTGATATTTTCTTAACTTGCCAACAGAAGATCTCTAAGCCACTCCCATGTTAGTCGTCGTTGAGGCTCACCAAGTAACAGGGAGGAAGATAGATATAGAACGAGTGGATTTGTATGATTGAGAGTAGAAGAATGAAATGTTGTGTGTGTAGGATTTTACTTTTGTTATGTTCATGTCTGTGTGTATGGTGTGATTTGAAATAAACCAAGGCGCAATGACGATTTTACGAAGTATTTTGGATTGTGTGGTTTGAATTTTGTGTATGTGTTTTGTTTAGATTAGTTGCTTGCTTCGTAAGTTGAGTGCAGATCTGTAGTCCAAAAGATGTGACAGTTGTTTGTATCTTTCTAGGATTGGCTTTATCCTTAGGTAAAGCCATTCCGTTGGTGGCGAAGGATGAAGGGGGTGATAAGATCATAGCCAGGAGCTTTTTTTGTTGTTTAATGTAAATTAAAAAAATATATAATAAAAAATTTATTTATTTACATTTAGACTTTGAGAAATTAAACGATTATGTAAAAAAGTTAACTATACATTTAAGACAAATTAAATAGATTGTAGATATCAACGGATAAAGTTGATTTCGAAATATTTTGCTGTCGTAGTTCGTATGGTGATGTTGATGATTCATTCAGAACGATTTGTGGGAGTATTCGATTTGGAAGTAGAAAACGAATGCAGTTAATGAACAGGACTTGGCGAATGTTGAGAGCTCCTAGAAGGCGTTGGGCGTGAACTAGTCTCGAACCTGCCCATGGCGGCATCGAACAGAATATTGTTTATATGGTGCTTAGCAACCTGGTAACTGGTCGGACTGAGCTTACGCAACTCCATTCCCACGTGCTGTCCGTACGTAGAAAATTCATCCTCTTCCGAAGCCTTTTGTAATAATTCATAGGCCCCCTCCACTAGAACATGCTCATCTTCCACCCGTGGTGCTATCTGTGTTTTGGCAGTTTTTCTTTTTTTTGTACAAGGTGGTTCACAATTACTTTCTTCGGTTGGAGGCGGTGACTCCCATGTCAATGCCCTACTAAGCAGAGTTTCAGTCGTCTCAGATTCGGGCTAAAAAAAAAAAAAAATTAT